TGGACACGCTTGAAGCTCTGATTGGGGCGGGGAGGGCAATGTAACCTAAACATTTGTACCCCCATAATATGCAGAAATAAAAAAATAAAATAAAAAAAAAGTATTCCAAAGGTTTCAGTTTCCTTGTATAGAAGAGCAGTAAAGAAGAAATAGTATAACCTTGGTGTGATACCACCATATGCTTCTGAGAGCAAGAAACGGGAAGGTAACTACTACTGGAAGTGAACTTTCAAATTAATAAAAACAAGGAAAAGGAAAATGAAGAAATAATATCAAATAAACAATAAAGTTATAGAAGTAATAAAAACAAGAATAGGGAGTCACAACATTAAACCTGAACTAAATAACTTGCCCCATTTAAAAACAGTATGCCTTCCAAAAGGACAAATAGTATATGATTCCACTTACATGAGTTACTTAGACAGGCAAATTCACAGAAAGTAGAATGGAGGTTACCAGGAGCTGGGGGAAGGGGGCTGGGGAATTACTGTTTAACGCGTACAGAGCTTCTGTTTGGAATGATTAAGAAGCTCAGGGAATGGATAGTGCTGATGTTTGCACAACATTAGGAATATAATTAATGCCACTGAATTGTACACTTAAAAATGGTTCAAATGATAAATTTTACATATGTTTACATGTACATTATATAATACATACACATTTTTTGTAATGTCTATTTATACATATACATTTTTTGTAATGTCTATTTATAATACATACCAAAATATAAGGCAAGAATAATTAGAAATGTAAGAACTTGACATAAATACAGTGGAATACTTTAACACATCCTGTATCAATTATGATGCACTCAACTAAAAACTTTAAATTCAATTAACATCAGCTTAAACTATTAAGAGGTTATGTTTCTTATATAACAAAAGGTCTAGAAGTAGGCAATTGTTGGTGTCTCTTCAGGGACTCACCAGGATCTTTTCCTTTCTACTCTGCCATCTTAGCATGTTAGTCTCTTACCCCTGTGACTCTTAAGGGGGAAAAGGAAGGACTGTGCTAGGCACATTAATTTAATTCATCTGGAAAGTAAAAACTTTCTTAGGAACCTCCTGTAGACCTATCTGCCAGAATTGTGTCACACTGCCACCTTAGTAGCAAGGAAGGCCCAAGAAGGGAATATTAAGTTATCCAGCCTCTCTAGTAGAAGATATGCAAGGAAAAGAGATCCAGGAATGAGTGTTGGCTTAACTAATGAACAGTGTCTACCACAAAATTCTCCCCATTTGAAAATCTAGTAGAAAAAAATTAAGACATAGAAGAATTTAAAAATACAGTTAATAAGGATAATTAAGAGATTATTATGAGAACAACTACACACCAACCAACGGGAAAACCCAGAAGAAATGGATAAATTCCTGGACACATATAACCTGCCAAGATTGAACCACAAAGAAATAAAAAACCAGAATCGACCAATAACAAGTAATGAGATTAAAGCAGTAATAAAAAGTTTCCCATCAAAGAAAAGCTCAGGACCTGATGGTTTCACAGCTGAATTCTACCAAACATTTAAACAAGAACTAATATAACACCAACTCTACTCAGACTACTCCAAAAAAAAAATGAAGAGGACAGAATACTTCCAAACTCATTCTATGAGGCCGGCATTACCCTAATGCCAAAACCAGACAAGGATAAAACAACAAAAAAGAAAATTACAGGCCAATATTCCTGGTGAGTATAAATGCAAAAATCCTCAACAAAATACTAGCAAACCCAATTTAACAACATATTAAAAAGATTATTCAAAAAAAAAAAAAAGATTATTCATCATGACTAAATGGGATTCCTCCCAGGGATGCAAGTACAGTTCAACACAGGCAAATCATAAACATGATATATGAAATTAACAGAATCAAGGACAAAAACTATATGATCATTTCAACAGATGCTGAAAAAGCATTCAATAAAATTCAAC